CGTCTCCCATTCAAGCATGTTGCTCATGAATCCACCAAGAAGGATTTTCAAGGCATCATGTTCCCCAACATGTCAATTATTATTATTTACTGGTGGTGAATACGTGGGTAAGATGATAAAGTTTCTAACATTTCAATGGCAATGTTAAACCATGTGTATGAATTTGTTTGTTGCTAGTAGGGAGTACTAGGTCAATACACATGTTAAACCGTGTTGCATTGTTGAAATCAGTGGTTTAAAAAACGGATCGGTGCCTTGGATTAGACATCTCAAAATCCTATTTGGATCGGTAAATCGGCGATTCAGATCGGGAATCGGCTGAATCAGTAGGATTAATCCTTAAAAAAAATCCAAAAAAATTATTAAAACTTATTATAAATGTTGTTTTTTAGAAATCCAATAAGAAATAGGGGTACTATATTATTAACTTTCATTTTTTTCATCAATTTACAAATATTGAGATGTTGTTTTCCTGTATGAACTTATTTTAACCATTAAATTTATATCACACAAAAGAAAAATCATAGAATTATCATGGATGAAGTATATAATTATACATAGGCAAGAAAAATATGGTACTTGTTGTATTACCCTTTTATTTTATTTTTTTGACAAGATATACTTGTTGTATTACTTATTAATTTTTTGACGAAAAAAATAAGAAAATAACAAAAAATACTTGTTGTATTAAGAAATACCTTTTATTTATTTATTTGACAAGAAACACTTGTTGTAGTACTTTTTATTTTATTTTTAAACGAGAAAATAAGAAAATAACAAGAAATATTTATTGTATTAAGAAATACCTTTTATTTTTTTTGACAAGAAATACTTGTTGTATTACATTTTAGTTATTTTTTGACAAGAAAAATAAGAAGATATTGTCTTACCTTTTTTTTTGCTTGTTGTATTACCGTTTATTTTTTTGACAAGAAAAATAAGAAAATGATGGGTTTTTGGGATTCCCGATCCGAGGCACCGATCCTTTTTTTAATTATAATATAGCATTATAATATTGTCTTATAACTATTAATTATAATATAATATTATAATATTACATCAAAATAGTTTAAAAATATTAGAAAAGACTTCCATATAATTTAAATTTTTTTAATGTATATAAAAATAATTATATTGACATAAATTTAACATAATTATATTTAAGTTATTAACATAAACAAACAACAATTTCATATAACTATGTTAATTTTTGTAAATTATTATTCTTGTGGACATTGACTATGCGTAAAAGTAAACATAATTGACGAAGGATCACTTTAGTTGACTAAAGACCACCCTCACATACCATGAACTTTATTAGATTGAGGTCACAATCACGTAGAACAACCTTATTAACTATGGCGACTCATTGCATGTAAGATAACAACAAATTTGTAAGAGGGCGTGGTTTGTACTGTAATGATTTTGCATGCACGCCGATGGGAATTATCCCACATCGAAGCATTAAGGAAAAACTGCCCGGTATAAAGTGTTTGCGACAGGTGCATGTCACGATGAGCACCTGTACAGGTTTGTGATGTGTCCCTCATGATATCGTGATGCGAGTGTTGTCGATATATTATCGCCCTCGAAGTGGCATATCCGCGATGTTATTACCCTACAATTTGCCAAGTTGCATATCCACTGTTATGATATGCCTTACGAGTGACATATCCTGTTATGACAACGGTTTACAATGCACGCAACAAATATGCCTCCCAATTTTTTTAAAAAATAAAAAATTCAGAGCTTATCCCTATCGGTTGAAATCGCCCGTGTCACTGTAAACCGATGATTTATGTTATCGCCTTACGAATGACGTGTCCTGTTATGACGACAGTTGAAATCACCTGTGTCACTGTTGTGAACTAGCGATTTATATTATCGCCCTACGAGTGATGTGTCCTGTTATGACGATGGTTGACAACGCATACAACAAATATGCCCCCCCCCCCCCCCCCCCCCAATATTTTTAAAAAATTTTAGAGCGTACCCTTACCGGTTGAAATAATTTAAGAGCTTACCCCTACCAATTCAAATCGCCCATGTCACTGTTGCGAACCTACGTTTCGTAGACGTGTCTTGTTATGACGATGGTTGACAACGCATGCACAAATATGTTCCCCAATTTAAAAAAAAAAATTCAGAGCTTACCCCTACTGGTTGAAACCGCTCGTGTCACTGTTGCAACTCATCGAATCACTATAACGAATAGTTGATTTATCGCTACGAATCACTGGTTCGCCTCTAGACACACCCAATTTACGGTTATAAGTGAGATTTGGCACGGGATGACCGATTTCCAAATCAAATCGACCAATTCCCTGCTCACTCAACGACTTTTAAACCACTGGTTGAAACCCATGTTGTTAAAGATTGTTCTTAGAGCACTAAAATATTTGGAGATCAAATATTACCTCTTTTTTTTTTTGTTGGACAAGAATGAAAACTTTTATAGATGAAATCAATTACAGTACACTGGTAACACAACATATCACCATGAAAAAAAATAAAAAATCAATTAAACAATGCAAAATTACAACACAATTCAAAACCCCTACTACATTCAAATACAAAAAAAAATTCATCTTCTGTAGATTTAACAGAACCACATTTATCTTCCCTCAACAAACAATTAACTCAGTTGCATCCACTCCTGATATGCCAACGTATTCTTCTCCCTGTATGCATGCACAAAACTAGAATTCTTTCAATGTCACAGAAATCTAATACTTCAAGTAACATCCTGAAATGTCATGGAGCTTCCCACTCCTTTTTATGAGATTAGATATTATCGACATTCTACTTAAAGCGCCATGCATGACGGGCTGGCAATGGGTGTAGCCTGGGCCAAGCAAGTGCCAGCCTAAAGCCCCATATGGCTTATCAGAGGCCCGGCCCAACCCTAGATAGGTTGAGGGGACCTAGCCAAGGCCCAGCCCTAGGCCTTGACTTGGTGGATCAGCCGAGCCCTGGTCTGGTTCAGGTTAGAATTGAATGAAAAAGAACCCTAAAAAGAAAAAACCGTCTGAGGCAAGCCAGCGATGGCCCATGACCTAGGCATGGCCTTTGTGCTGACGTGGTCCGATCCTGGCTGGTGCTCGCGCCAACTGTTGTGGCTTGGGGTCTATGTCTTTCAGGGCCAGGCCCAATGGGCTTGGCCACTCCGCCCATTCCCAAACCTAGTGATACTCCCGATGTGTTTCTTTCTTTCTAGATGCATTTGGACATGCTTAACTTGGGCATTCTTGTACAAGTGTGCATATTATGGGAGTTGTGACCTGCAAACCAACCTCAAGTGAAAGCTACACTCATTAGTAGCCAAAATGTCCCACTTCCTTTTAGAACCTAGAGATGTCAAGAGAAATTTAAATACTTCTCAACCAATTAGAATCTTGAGAAAAATTAGGAAGGGGAGAATGTAGTAATTTTTTTAAAAAAATTATTAACAAGACGTATTAATGAAAATTACCATCTTTATTTGATATAAAAAAATCTCTACGGATTTGTTCTCATTTATGTTTCTACCAATCATCTCCCTTTTCCCGAAGTTATAAAAACTTCCAAAAAGCGTAAAGTGTAAATGATGCCTCATTCTAGTGTGGTATCTTTCCAAGAAAAACTATCTTAGAGATGGGTGTAGGATTTAACACATCCTAATGGACTTAGAGATGGGATTTGATGCTTTTCTAATGGGACAGATATGATGATTTACAATTTATAAAGAATTAAAATGAACAATGCAAAATTAAAATTTAAAATAACCTATTTTTCAGGTACAAAATGCTTTTTTTAAATTCATGATTATGGTGGTCAAGCTTATTGACCCGTAAAAGTTTTGGTCAACCAAACAATTCATCCTCATCATCCTAGAGCCTTTTCCCAAATTATTTGGAGTTTGGCTATACGAATCCTAGTCTGCCATCCATTCTATCAAAGGTCAAGCAAAGAATTCTAAGATGAAATAAAAATAAGTGCAACGGACCAAGGATCTATCTTTCAAATTATTTTTCGGCTCTAGTTTAAGGGTGACGTTTGTATAAAGTTGCCTCCTTATACTACAAAAGTAAGACACACCTATAAAATTTACTTAGAGATGTCGTTTCGGTGTCAAAAACCTTGTGATGGCTTCAAAAACTCTTTTTTATCCTGAGTTATAAAATTTAAAAAATGATACAAATCGAACATATCAAGAAACACTTGAAAATCTTGAAAATAAAAGGTCTAGATGACTTGTTACAGGATGTACTATTTTTTTAGACTTGAAATTCATTTTTTTCTTCGTGTCCATTCATCTCAAAGTCGAGATAATTAGGTGGAGTGTTCCCCTATGCCAGAACACTCTCTACTATAGGATTTCTGAGGTGCACCTTACTTCACCAATATAAGGTTGCAACCTTATATAAACTTTTTCCCTTATTTAAATGCCTAAATATTGTTGCTCGACAAAAGTTCACATTGAGATTCGGGCAAAATTGCACCAAGGGCCAGAATACAATTTCAAGGATCGAATCCCATCGCTTCTTTACTCACAGAAGACTAATTTTCTAGATATAACGGCAATTATCACTATGAAACGAGAACGGACAAATTCTAATCCGTTCCGTTATAACCATTTGAATCCTTTCCTTTTAAGTGGTTACCAAAATCTCACTTAAGAATAATCAAATTACTGATGTAACTTTAGGACACCATTATTCATGAAGTTTTTTTTTAGGTGTAACCAAAGTGATTACAGTAGTTCTAACCACTCACAAGACAAAGCGGAAAAAATCAAAGCCTGAAATATCAAAATCCAACAAAGTTAAATAGTCGTGCCATTTTGTAATTTATAAAGTCCAAGCATCCCTTTCTCTCTCTATACTTTGAAGTTTCTTAAGGAGTTAGGTTATCAACTAACTGGAGGTGATATGTATTAATGTTTGCCATATTGCTTGTACGCATAAACACTTAAACCCAAACCTTAACTCTTAGAGCATCTCAGCCTCCTTGCCCTCACATATTCCTTTATTCTAACCCAAAATCTAGAGAGAGAGAGAGAGAATGGCTTGTCCCAATGTTCTATTGTCACTCTTTGGCCTGAGCCTACTCGGATCGTGTGCGGCGACGACCTACACGGTCGGAGACAGCTCCGGGTGGGATGTAAGCACCAATCTCGATTCATGGGCGGTCGGAAAAACGTTTATTGTTGGCGATATTTTATGTGAGTAAATTTTCAATTTTCCTTGCGACCTTTTCTCCTTGTGGTTTCAAGCTAAATCCCTTGGAAAGAAGTGAATACAAACATATGTAGAAGTATAGCTCCGCCTCTATATATATACATGTAGTCTGTTACTCCTTACAGAATAACGGCTTCTATGAATGTGTATGCGGATGAAGTTGTTTGATTTTGCAAAAGTTTATACAAATCAGCAACCTGTAAAGGTAAGGTGCACTTGAAAAATCCATTGGAAAAAGTTGTTCTAGAGGTGAAAAGTCTTCAAATTGATCATCTTGTTAGATGTATGTGCATTAGGAAAAAGGATTTCAAGTCTTAAAAATAATAGATCTTTTAGAGCTTTATCTAGACCATCCACTTTCAAAATATTCAGATGTTTATAAATTTGCTCAATCCTACACTACTTTTTTATAATTAAATTTCATAATTAAAGGTGGAAGTAGATCTTCAGGCAATCATAAGGTTTTCGGCACTAAAACTTCATCCTCCGTTGGGGTTCGGTGAGGTGCAGTTCAATTTAATGTTTTAAGATTGATGCCATAAATAAACTTTACCCATAATTTTAACGTGAACCTTTTTTCTGTGTATGTTTACATGGGCGTTTGCCTCTCCATGCTTAAACCCTTTTCTCCTTTTCTGTGTTTTGATTATTCATTTCCAAAATCCTTTGGAATAAGGAGCAATTTGAGACCATATAGGAGAGAATGGGCAATAGGACAAATTGGGAATTTACTAGTTTCTTTAGAGTCACCTACTGTATTTCCCCTTATGAACTAAATGGAGGAAGTTTTATGTGTCAAACCTAACGTGATTTGGGCCCTAGTAGTTAGGATCAGCAGCACTAAGACCAACAGCCTACCCACCCCAATTAAAAAGTTAATGCATATCTTCCCAAAAGGAACAATCGTATAAAAAAGGCATAATCTAGACCCAAATGTGCATTATTTTTTGAGATATCTTGGACCATTGAACCTGACCTAATTAGCTTATTAGTGCTTGAATTAGCATGATCAATACAATGATAAGACTAATTAATCAAAACTAAATTGGATTACTATCAAATTTCTCTTTGAATTCCAGTAACACTAGTTCCCCTTGAGTATCATCTTGAAACCCTCTAATGGTGTCTCCACTATGCAGTATTCCAATACTCATCCTACCATAGCCTGTATGAGGTGAGTAAAGATGGATATCAATCATGCAACACGACTAACCCTCTGTTCAGCGCAACGAACGGGAACACGTCCTTCGTGTTGTCGTCTGCCGGGGAGAAGTACTTTGTATGTGGAGAAATCAGTCACTGCTTGGGTGGAATGAGACTCACAATTGCAGTCGAGGACCAAAACACTGCAATGGCACCTGGGAGTTCGGCACCGCAAGGATCACAGCTGTTCCATCCATCACCAACTTCTTCACCACCAAGAAGAGATGTTTCCCCCACTTCAAGTTATAATCCAAATCCCTCTTACAATTCTAGGAGTGGTCTAGTCTTACTAGCATGTACGATTGTGTTGAGGATTTTTTTAGGGCTTGCTTCATGAATATGTAGGAGCAATGGGACAGATGTAAGGTAGTTTGATGTACCACATAGTCATTTACTTCGTATGTCCTCCTATTATAATTTTAGGGCTTGTATACAATGAGATCATTTACCTTTCATACAAAGGGGTCGCAATTATTTACAACCATCTGATTTGAAATCTATTTGTTTGGGAGTGTCACAAAATTTAAAACTTTTTTTTAAAAAAATTTGATCTTAGTCATGGAATAAATGCAACCATCGAATTTTACATCCAATAGTTGAGATTAATTTCGAATTTTACATCCAATAGTTGAGATTAATTGTACCAAAAATAAATGCTCTTATTTTATATGGTTTCTTGTATGTGCTCTTTGTGTCTCTTTGTTTATTGGGTAAACTTTTTATGTGGCACGCCGAGCCATCCTGAAGTCAGCATCAATAAATGTTAAAAAAAGAGAGAGAAGAAGTGTTTAACTATCAACCGTCCGATCAAGATCCAACGGTAAAAGGGCATCTAAGTATTTCAACTTTATTTGTTTTTTATTCATTGAATTGAGTTGAAGTCCTGGTCGTATATACCTCTTACTATCATTAAAATATAGAAAATGCCAAAAATGCCTAAGAAACATTCATGGGGGTTTTGGTTATTTGGGGTTTATAACATTATTTTTTGTATTTTTTACAGTGGTGCCTCAAATTAGTCATACACACCCTAAAAATTGATCTCATTTCTAAAATAATGAAATTTAAATAGCATCACACACTCTCTACCATCACACACTCTCTACCATCCAATCAAACATGAGTGGGTGGGAAAGACCCCGGTGGCATCACACAGGAAGTTTACCCTTGCAAATTGTACAATATTTTATTTTCCCAATAAAAGATATTTTATAACCAATGAATAATGCAAAAATTAGAACAATTGGTTTCAAACTTTTGTAAATAAAAGTGTCTCCACACAACATTAAAAAGTTAATTTACAAATAAAAAGTTATTTTAAAAAAACTAACAACTCAAAAAAGATTTTTTAAGCCCTAATATTTTGCCTGCCAAAAGGTGGACAGGCCCAATGTTTGTCCCACTTCCACATCTGGCAAAGTAGTGGCATTAAGCTCTGTGTGGCGACATTCCAGCCTTGCTGCTTTGGCCTTGTCGCGTTAAAACGACGCTTTTTTTTATTTATTTAACGCCATTCATCACTTTGTAACAATCGCCAAACAGGGGATTCCGACACGTGTTTCAGCCCAATGCCGTGTTGAAAGCTTGTTTCTCTCTCTAACCAGAGTCGAGTCGCTGCGCTGCGCTGGGCACGGTACAGAAGTAACACTGATTCGATCAACTGAATCAATCAGCTCTCTCTCTCTCTCTCTCTCTCTCTATCAACTGAATCAGTCAGCTCTCTCTCTCTCTCTCTCTCTATCAACTGAATCAGTCAGCTCTCTCTCTCTCTCCTCTCTAAAGCCAGGAGGTGACGAGAGATGAATAAGCTTGCAAAACCGGAATCCATCTTTCAAGGAAATGAGGGTCGACAGGTCCCCTGCAAATGCAAATGCAAATGAAAATAAAGGATTTATTGCTCGAGCGACTTCACTCGTCAAATCGTTTCCATCAAGGACTCGACAATGTGCGGGCACAGCGTCTGACAACTCTCACTCCGACGTATGACTCGGGAAGGGTAATTTGTCATAATTCTAAACTTCTCTTAAATTTATAAAAAATATGGTAAATTCATGAAAAGAAAAGTGGATCAGTGGTGACTCACAAGCGCCACTAATTTTGAATACAAGAGAAGGAGTATACAGTATTTTAATATTATTTTTTAAATTTTAATTAACTTCAAAGTTTATATGTAGCACAAGCACACTTAAAAATAAAAATAAAAATAAAAATTTAGAAAATAAATTAACTAGAATATCCTTGACACATTTATGCGTATGTTGGTCTCTCTTTTATCTTCTTTTGTGTGCATTTGAGTAATGGGCGCACACCTTCAAATTTTAATGTTTCAAATATATAAACGACAATTAAAATTAAAATCGTATAAGCTTGAGGCCCTAAACAATCAAAGTAAGACACACTTTTAAATAGTATCAAAAGACGTTTAAATATTGAAAATCCTTTTGATGGCTTGAAATTTTATTTTTATATACAACCATAAAATTTAAAGGTGAAAGTAGTGTAGATCGAATGGATCTATGAATACTTGAAAATCTTGAAAATTGATGGTCTAGAAAATACACTACAAGATGCACTATTTTCAAGACTTGAAGTATTTTTTTCTCATATTCATACATCTTGAGGTCTAGATGACGGATTTGAGAAATTTATGGCATCAAAATAACTTATTTTATAAAATTTTGAGGTACGCCTTGAATTCATCGTTTGGGGACTCACCCCTAGACAAAATTTTTCAAAATTAAGATAGAAAAAAGTTTATGTAAAGTTGAGGCCCCAAACAATCAAACTAAGGCGCAACTTATAAATTCATTAGAAGAAGTTGTTTTGATGCCAAAAAAAACCTACAAACCCGGTCATTTTGACCTTGAGATATATAGATGTAAGAAAAAATAGACTTCAAGTCTTGGAAATAGTGCATCTTGTAATGTATTATCTAGACCGTTGATTTTTAAGGTTTTCAAGTATTCATAGATCTACTTGATTTACACTATTTTTTAAACTTTCAATTTCATAACAGGAGATGAAAAAAAAATTTAGGCAATTATTAAGATTTTCGGTATTGAAACTATATCTTTCAGTACTATTTGAATATGTGCCTTATTTTGATTATTTGGTCCTCAGCCTTATACAAACCAAACCTATTAAAATATTACACATAATCATGGACGTCTTTTTTTTCATTCGAAATCTATAATTATCGTCTTTTTTTTTTATAAGATGGTGATTGTGCACCACTTCAGCTTTCACATGATGCGAAAGCTAGACCAATTTTTATTGAATAATTAAAGGAAAAGGGTTATATAAGGTTTCCACCTTAAATTTAGAATCAAAGTGCACCTCAAAAATAATAATAATAATAATAATAATAATAATAATAATATATAAAGAAAGAAAGAAGAAGAAGAAAGAAAGATATTTTGATGTTAAAGACCATCTAATTGTTCATCTCTGCATCAAGTATAGATATAAGCAAAATAAATAAATAAATTCAAGTCCTAAAAATAATACATTACCTAATCGTCCATTTTCAATATTTTCATACATTTGTAGATCTGTTTAATTTGAGCTATTGTTTTACTTTAAAATTTTACAATTAGGGGTATGAAATAGATTCTCAGGCTATCCTAAAATTTTTCGACATCAAATTGCATCTTATGAGTTATTACGAATTTTTGGAGATGCACCTTAATTTAATCGTTCAAAGTTAAACCTTATACAAACTTCACCTATACTTATAAATTTTTTAAAAAATGATATATCACTATTATACTATTATATTATCAAGAGCGCGTTTGGAGCAGTATGTGCGAAATTTGTTTCCAAGATGCCCTTATTTAGCTTTATTAATTCCATTTCTGATCTCGTTATTGTAAGGCATTCTAACGTGGAATTTCAACGTAGCCGCGGCAAAAATTAGGAGGATTTATGAACATAAAGTGTGGTTAAGAAATCCACTCTATGATAATGGGGTGGCAATGGTTCATATCAGGGCCGGGTCGATCTGGACTTGGACCTGAATTAGACCCAACTACGGTCCAAGGTTTTGGACCAGAACCTGACCTATCAGCTTCAAAACTTGGACTCGGACCTGACCTGGTTTAGGTTTTATTTATCCTCTCTTTTGACCAAAATTTTCCAAAATCATGCTCGTTCTCTTCGTACTAATTGTAGCACACATTTAATTTTCATTAGTCATTATAGCTTTTTTTCAATTAATTGGAGTTAACTACACGAATTCTGATACACCATTTTATTTGTTCAGGATTCACGATAAGTTTTGGCAAAATTTTACGTTGGCTGCCTACCTAACACAATGCTGCCCCTATACCTACACATAGGAGGGGTTAAAAAAAAGTGTAAGGTCGTCACCTTTTTTAGACTGATCTATTTACTTTGGGATGTAATTTCTATTAGGCCTAAGCCTTATGAAAACAAACTAAAGCCCCACCTTCAAACTTTGTTAGCAAAATACTTTGGACATAACAATATTTATGATGGCTTTAAAATCAATTTCTACCATCTACTATGAAATTTGTAGCTCAAATAATGGTACACATTTTTCAGATTTGCAGACACTTGAAATTGGCTGATCTAGACAATGTGCCATATTTTTTTTGATAAAGATTCAAAATTTTTATTGCTAACTATGGAAAGAGATTACATCATTTAAAACAACAAGAGAAGGTAATGAAGCACCACCATTAGCCAAGAAATCCGCCAAAGAAATTAGCTTCCCTATACACATGGACAAATGAAACTGGCAGGGTTTCAACCAAATCCATAGGCCACGAAGCTCCCAAGGGATTTTTTGCTCCTTGCTGCACCATTTGACCACATTTAAAGAATCCCCTTCAATAAGGCAGGATCTATCAGAATATCTATCAGCCAAGATTTTCACCCCACACAATAACGCACTTAACTCTGTAAAATTGGCTGTTTAAACTCCAATCGGACCAACAAATAAAAAAATAATGTTGGACAAGGAGTCACGCAACACCCCACCAATTCCAGCAACACTCGAGTTCCCCAGAGCTTCTATCAAAGTTTAATTTAAAACAATCACCTAGAGGCACCATCCAAATACTTCTCGATCTAGTGCTAGGCCTCACGAGCAGAAAAAGACTACTAAGGTTAGCCATCACATCAACCTTACTAATTTTCCTACCCTCTTTATTATCAGAGATCCAAGCCCAAATTGATAGTTTGATATTGTTTAATAGTACCTCCAAAGGCAGCGATTTCCCCTCATATGTCCCTATGTTCCTTTTTTTCCAAACTTCCCAAAGAATAATGCCTTTTGCCATATCCCAAATCATTTTCCATGTCTTTGGCAAATGAGGAAGAGATAATTGTGAGACTATACCCACCATGGAAGAAGGAAGCAATACCAACCATTTCAAAAAGCCAGAACCAAATTCTTACCGTGAAGGGATAATGAATAAACAAATGTGCACTCGTTTCTTCATCCGTTTTACAAAGAAGACATACACTTGGTAAAATTTTCCCTCTTTTGATCAGATTATCGACAGTGAGAATATTATTCAAAGCTGCCAACCAAATAAAACCTGAACGTTATGGGGAACATGCCACTTCCATATCTTAGCAATCTATGGGCAAGATCTTCTCCAATGATCATGAAATAAAAGATTGTAGCATGATTTGACCGAGAAGACCCCATCATGCTCAATCTCCCAGATCATCTCATCCACTACATTAGAAGAAATATATACCCCATTCAATCTCTCCATCAACGCACATCATTAGGAGAGGACTACATCTCTCAATCGATTGTACATAAGTGATACATTCCAAAAAATCAGATTACCCCTACGATCTACTACTTCACAAATTGTCCAATCAAGTTGGGTAACCCTTCGAAATAACTCTAGATAGGCCAACTTTATAGGGTAGTTTCCCAGCCATTTATGGTACTAAAAAGATATTTTCCTCCCATCACCTAAAATCCACCTAAAGTAGCCTGACACCATTGATTTGCAGTTATAAATCACCTTCCACATATGCGATTTGGACACTAGAACTCTATATCACAGATGTTCTTTGAGAAGAAGACTACGCTACCACCACTTACACATTAAGGTCTGATTTACCAAAAAAATCTTTCTAATATCCAAACCACCTTCTTTCTTCGGAGAACAAACTTTATCCCATCTTAATAAATGAAACTTCCTTCTCTCAATAGTAGCGCCCCAAAGCAAATCACGCATCATTTTCTCCAATCTCTTAGCAACTGAGGCAGGTATATGAATCAGAGACATTTGGTAAACTAGGAGGTTAGCTAAGGAAGTTCTCAGTAAAGTAACCCTTCCTTTTATAGACAAGTATTTGTGTTTCCATAGTGCAAGTTTACGTTGTACTCTTTTAAGCACAATATCCCAAATAGTAATGGTGAGCCTCGAATAAGAAATAAGAAGACCCAAATACGTAATAGGAAAAGATCCAACCTTACAACCCAACAGAATAGCCAGCTCTGATATCATATCCGCTTCAACATTTATTCCAACTAAAGACGATTTGTGGAAATTAACCTTAAGACCCAAAGTAACATCACAAATCTCTAAAAATCTAGCAATATTAGACACCTGAGCAGACTCCGCATCGAAAAAAATCAAAGTATCATCAGCATACTGAATATGGGAAATAACGATATTAGAGTCGGGAATCATGAAACCTGAAAAAAACCTAGACTTTCCACCCTGCTATGCATAAGACTGAAGCACTTAACATAGATTGTAAACAGGAAAGGGGACAAAGGGTCTCCCTGTCGCAAGCCTCTCGATGCACTGAAAAAACCAATAGGACTACTATTGAATAAAACTGAGAAATGCACCAAAGATAAACATCCCCTAATCCAATTCTTCCATTTATCGCTAAAGCTCATAGCTCTCAAAATTTCTAGTAAAATACCCCATTCAACACGATCATAGGCTTTCTCCATATCCAATTTTAGCAAAATCCCTGGCTTCTTACTCAAAACTTTGGAATGAATACATTCTTGCACAACCAGCACACTATCCATGATTTGGCAATCCAGAATAAATGCGGACAGAGTACTAGAAGTAAGGAATGGGAGTACAACTTTTAGTCTTTCCGCCAATACTTTGGCAATGATTTTATAAAGAATAGTTAACAAGCTTATTGGTCTGATATCAAATAGGGCAGAAATGATGTCCTTTTTTGGAATTAAGGCAAAAAAAGTGGAGTTAATTCCTTTAAAAATTTGGCCCCTGAGCATGAAGCTTTTCACGAACTCCAATCACTCCCCTTTAAGCACATTCTAGAAACGATGGAAGAAAACAAGAGGAAAGCCATGAGGTCCCGGAGCCTTATCTCCAGGTAATACAAAAACTGTCGTGTGCAGTTCCTCCATAGTAATCTCCCTTTCCAATTGCACTTTCATCTCCAACTTCGAAACTTTGAAGGGTACTCTACTCAAGGAAGGCAAAACTGTAACCTCTTTAGTAAAGGCCTTTCTAAAGTGACTTATCAATTCATCTTCCAATGCAATTGCATTCTCAGAATCCACCCCAGGTATAGAATGAGCAGAAAGGTCATTCTGTATTGTACAAGCACTGGCCATTGCATGAAAAAATTTGGTGTTCAAGTCACCTTCTTTCAGCCATTTAGAATTAGACCTTTGCCTCCAATAAATCTCTTCTAATCTTCGTAACTCCTCTAGTTCATTAAATTTCAGTGTACGCTTAGAAATCACATGTTCAGAGATAGCTCCATGTTCGTGAATACTAAGATTTATCACTTCAATGTCTAACAACACCCTATCAATTTTGGCCTTAATGTCAAATTGATTCTCCCGCTTCCATGCAATCATTTTATGCTTAATATTAACCAGCTTTCTATGCAATTGGAAATCTAGGGAACCTTCCACAGCAGTATTAACCTAAGTGGTTCTAATAATTTCCAAAACATCCTTCTCCTCCAACAATCCTACTTCAAACCTAAAAGGTCCCCCTTTAGCCAATCCTGTATTAAGCATAATAGGACAATGGTCATATGACAACATGGTCAAGGCCCTAACTGTAGAAAAGGGAAAGGATTCCAACCAATTCATATAAATAAGAAATCTGTCTAATTTAGACATAGACAGATTAACCAAGCTGTTGTTTGGCCATGTAAAGTGCGCAATATTTTTACACATCTAGATACCCTTATCCTATAGTATAGTAATTTTTTGTTTAGGGGTATTTTAAGTAATTAGTCAAGGATAAACTAAAAATTCCCAATAGAAACGAAAGTATTTATTAATAATAGTGGACAATGACATCACCGATATGGTGTGTGACATTACCCACAAGATGCATTAATTTTTTTTAACAACTAATAGAATGCCACTATTTTTTATAAAAATATACATTCTACCCTTCTAAATGATCAAAAATACCCCTACTTGAAAAATCTTGTATTACAATTCAAAAGTATTTTAGTATCCAAAAATGTTGAGCACCTTAAGGGTCTACACCACCAAG